GAGAAGAATGGGTAATCTCCTCCACTGCAATATGCTGCCTTTGATACATGAATAATAATTTTTTGGTAATGATTTATACAAACAGATTGGCATCCTGTTCAGAATGGCTACAAAATTGTTTTGGTTTCCATTTGTGATCTCTTACACTTCATGTTACTACTCAGATTGTTGGGGGTTGCTGAGAGTTGTCTACTACCTTATCTCACGTGTATCTTGGCTGAAAGCAAAAAGTACTGGAGGAATGTTTATCTGTGCTACATTCACTCAGCAAAGACATTTGTCTGTGTGGCTCACAACAATGGTTAGCCTTGAGAAGAATGGGAATCCCAGAACAATTGATTATACACATGCAAAACCTATGCTTGGACCAGGAAGCAATCATCAGAACAGAAGCAAGTACATTGCATGGTTCAAAATAAGGAAAGGATTGTGTCAGGAATGTATCCTGTCTTCATACCTTTTCAAGCTGTATAAAAAAACGGATCATTTGAGAGGCTGGACTTTATGTGGAGGAATGTGGCATTAGGATTGGAGGAAGATTCATCAACAACCTACATTATGCTGATCACACAACCTTGTCTGCTGAAATGGAGAAGGACCTAAATATTTTGCTTCAGAAGATCAAGGACCATATTCATCAGTATGGATTGAAGCTCAACATCAAGAAAATAGAGACTTTCCCTGTTAGGCCATTTGGCAGCACTAAGATAGATGGCAATGAGATTGAAGTTGTTAACAATTTCGGATTGCTTGATAAAAGGTACAGATAAACTAAAGGAAGAAAAGTATCAGAAAACTATATTCTTATTTTAATTTTCTTTTATTTTTTTATTATTTTTGGTGTGTGCAAACAGTCAAATAGGATCTGACTAGTACAGAAGGAGACTGTCCCACCTTCTCCTGCAGAGCATGTGGTAGACTCAAACCATGTACCTCTGGGATTGCAGTGCAGCTTCTTGCCACTAGGCCACCAGAGCTCCCTAGAAAACTACATTCTTATGTAATCTTTGAAGTTGTATAAGTAATGATAATTGGTGACTGAAATGTAAAAATTGGAAATGGTGAAGTAGGAATGGTAATGGGAAAATATGGGCTTGATGATAGAAAAGAGGCTGGAAATAGAATGATCTAATTTTATATTTTCAATGATTTATTTATTGTAAATATGTCTTTTAAAGGACACAAATGGCAACTTGTCACATGGACCTCACATGATGGACTGCATAGGAATGAGATTGACTACATCTGCGGGAAAAAAATCAAGGAAGAAGCTCAATATCAGCTGTCCAAATTAGGTGAGTTGTACACTGTGGGTCAGACCATCAATTACTCATGTACAAGTTCAAATTGAAGCCAAAGAAAGATTAAATAATTGCTGAAAGCCAAAATATGATCTTGAGTCTATTCTATATGAATTTTAAGATCATCTTAAGAATAGGTTTGAGACACTAAACATGACTGAAGACCAGATGAGTTATGGGATGATATCAAGGATCTCATTAATGAAGGAGCAAAAGGTCATTACAAAGACAGAAGAGGAAAAAACAATAATGAAAAACTTAACAAAAGAAAATAAAGACACAAATAACTCAAATAAGAAATTAAAGAGATGACATCACAATAGAACGAGCTGAATGTAAATTGATAACAGAATATCACAAAAAGTAATACTCCAATAAATTTGAAAACCTAGAAGAAACGGACAAATTTCTAGAGACCCACCCCCTATCCAGACTAACATAAACAAATTGAACAGACATCACAAAAGAAGAATTTGAGCAGGTAATAAACATACTCCCTAAGGGTCCACCTCAAAAAAGTCCTGGCCAGATGGTTTCACAGGTTTGTTCTGCTAAACTTTTGCAGACAAATTTTAAATTTCCTTAAAAATATAACATAGAAATGCCAAGGTAAATACAACTGACACACAGAGATTTGTACATCGATGTTCATACAGCATTATTCACAACAGCAAGAAAATGGAAACAGTCCAAATGCCCATGAACAAACAATTGGACTGATAAATTGTGGTACATTCATGCAATAAAATTCTATGCAACTCTAAGGAAATATGACTTAGTAAAATACCATATAACATGGAGAATCTAGAGAGCATTATGATAAGTGAAGTAATTCAGTCTCATGAGGGCAAATACAATATAAGACCATTATTCTAAAAATAGAAGAATAACAATAAGATGCGTGAAAAAAGTCCAGAAGCTGAACAGAGAAGGGAGAGAGGGGCAGAAAAAGGTGCAGGGTGTAAATCAATAGGACATTAGACTTTAGTGGGAAAATGTGGAGGAAGGGCATGAAGGAAAGATTCAACGGAGCCTCAAAAACATGGTGTAAATTTGAGCATAGATCAAAAGTAATTATACAAAAAATAGTGCATATGAAAGATTATATGAAACAAAATGTAAAGGAAAGATTGTCTAAAACACAAAGTAGGTGAATGAAAAACAATGTATATAAATTATTGTATGCAAAACAGTAAAGAAAATTTTTTTAAAAGCTTAAAAAATAAGATGGAGGAATACACAGCATTACTTTACAGAAAAGAGATGCAAATCAAAACCACAATTAGATACCATCTCACTCCAGTAGCAGTGGCAAAGTTTAACAGGGCATCAAGTAACATATGATGGAGAGGATGTGGAGAGATAGGCTTTCTTGTACATTGTGGGTAGGATTGTAAAATGGTACAATCACCCTGGAAGGCAGTTTAGCACTTCCTCAAAAAGCTTAACATACAAATTCCATATGACCCAGCTATTTCACTGCTTGGAATATACCCTGAGAAAATAACCAATGGAGACTTGTACATTAATATTTATAGCAGCATTACTCACCATCACAAGTAACAAGGAAACAACCCAAATATCCAACCACAACCAAATGGATTGAGTAATTGTGATACATTCACACAATGGAATACTATGCAGCACACAGGAACAATTATTTTTAGGTAAATTACAACCTAACTTGGGAGGGCCTTGAGAGCATTAAGCTAAGTGATCTAACTCAGCCCTATAAGAACAAATATTGCATAAGATCATATTGTAGAAAAAAAATATGATGATCCAAGAGTGGGGTAGGGTAGGAGCAGAGGACTGAGGATGAGAACTGAGGCACAAATGAAGACTTTTGTGAAAACCAATGTATGCGAACTTTGTAAATAAACCAATATAAAATTGAAAAAAAGAAAAAGAATAGGCCAACACTGAATATTTCAGGATGGACCGTATGATCAAGATCTAATGGTAATGAAGAATGAATACAAGCTGCACTGAAGGCAGTAGAAAAAAACAAGGCTCCAGGAATTTATGGGACAGCAATTGATATGTTTCAACTAACAGATGCAGGTCTCAATGTGTTCAACACTATATAAAGAAATGTGAAGAACAGCTGCCTGGCCCACTACTTGTAAGAAATCTCTATTTGCTCCTTTCTAAGAAAGGTGACACAGCCAAGTGTTGAAATTATACAACAATATCATTAATATGTCATTCACATAAAATATTGTTGAAGATCATTTAAAAACATCTAGAACTATACATTGGAAGGGAAATAGAGAAGGTCATGCTGGGTTTAGAACAGCCAATGGCACCAAGGATATCATTGCTGATGTCAGATGGATCATAGCTGAAAACAAAGAATACCAGAAGAATTCTATGTGTGCTTTATTGACTATGCAAAAACATTTGACTGTGTAGATCACAACAAATTATGAATAACATTGAGAAGAATGGGAATCCCAAAACACTTAATCATGTTCATATAAAACCTATACATAGACCAAGAAGCTGTTGTGTGAACAGAGCAAGGGAAAATGACATGGTTTGAAATTAAGAAAAGTGTGTCAGGACTGTATCATTTTCAATCTGTATACTAGCAAATTATTTACGAATCTGGACTCTTTGAAGACAAATGTAACATAGGGATTGGAAGAAGACTCACTGATAGCTTGCATTATGTAGACAACACAATATTGCTTGCTGAAGGCGAAGAAGACTTTATGTGCTTGCTGATAAAAGATTATAGCCTTCAATAAGGATTGTATCTCAATGTTAAGAAAAAATTCTCACTATTGGACTTACAGGAAACATAATGATAGAGAAAATATTGAAACTGTCAATGGCTTCACCTTACTTGGGCCCACACATACTGTACGAGCAATCAGGAAGCATATTCCGCTGGGAAAGTGTGCAGTTAGGGACTTCTCCAAATTATGAGGAGCAATGTCAGAAACCCCGCGGACAGTCAGTTAGCTATGTATAGTTCCCACTTGGCAGCTGTAACTGAGTCAGTTAGTGTTTGAGTGTAGTACGGTAGTCCATAGTGAGATATGTTCCTAACCCAGACGCCAACCATCTCCAGTGATTTGAATCCACCAGCAGCTCCATGGGAGAAAGACGAGCAGTCTCCTGCACTTACAATTTAATGCTTCAGAAACTTGACGGAAGATCAATAAGTCAGAACTGATTATCACTTATATTTGACTGTATAAATAATTTTTATTAGCTATCAAAGATATTTCAACCCTGAATAGGATAGTGTTAAATCTGTGTTCTTTCATTCTTTTCTTCCTAGAATTTACATTTTTGAAGGTAAAGTTGGAATTAAGACCCTCCCCCCCGTTCCCGTCCCCACCCCCGGAATCCAGAAAAACTGTGAATCAATTTAAAAAAGATTATGCTAGGCCTACCTTCATTATTTCTAAGGTCCCACTAGAAGTGATCCTGTGTTTCACTTTCTGTATTACACTGTGGTTTATAATTGTTGTAAAATCATTTCTAGAACTGTACTTACTGCTCCCCAATAGAAGTGAACACACTTAGTCATGAAATAAATAGTTCCAATAGTACAAAGTAATTTGGGAACCCTTACTAGTTTTTCCACTACATATATGTAAAACAGTATTATTAGTTCTTGCAATCACCATTTCACCATTCATACATAAAGCAATAGAATTTTGATAAACCAGGCAATGTGCAAGGTTTGTCATAGTAAAACATTTATTTGTTAAAGTGATATAGATTATTCAAGATTCTACAGTCTGTTAAATCAGGGATGGCAATGTAACATGGATTGATACAGAACCTGATGCCAATGTTTCCTTCCTTCCTTTTAAAAAAACATATTTGGAGGCCAAAAAAAATTTGGTTTTAAAGGGGAATGAACCATATGGTCTGATAGAGCCAGTTCTGCCAATACCAGAGAATTCTCCTGGACTCCTGTGGAAAATTTTGTCTAGGACACGAGTTCAACAGCTAGTCTTGTGAAATGAAACATTTTGTTTGTTTGTTTGTTTTATCCAGTAAAAATATCAGTGGCAACTTTTTTCAGTAGACAGAGAAGAAGTGGTGCTCTTCAGATTAACTCCAGCCGCTGAAAAGAGAAAAAGAAAACACTAAGATAGTAAGATCATTATCCTAAAAATCGAGAGTTAACCACATTGTAAGCACTCATGCAGGAAATTCTTGTTCTAAAATGTCAAACTCATCTCTGAAAAAATCCAGCAAGCATATTTCAGCACTTAAGATCTCACTTGGTATTTTAAACTTGGTAAATACATAAAAATATTTCACTTTTTCAAGGAATCTGTCTTTAGCCTAAATGATTATGCAACTTAAAGTCAAATGTGTAGGGAATTTTCTCCTTGCTTTGGTTTTTATGTTTACATTCTCAAAGATAAAATAATGGTTTAAGAAAAAGAAAAAATGTGAATACAATTTAAGTTTATTTTTTTTAAATAACAAATATTACTTTGTATGTGTGTACCATCAAATCAGATCTGAGAGGAAGGGATTGCCCTTCCTTCTCCAGCAGAGCTTCTGGTGGATTTGAACTGCATACCTCTAGGAATTGCAGTACAGCTTCTTGTCATTAGGCCACCAGAGCTCCCCTACAATTTAAATGTCAACAAATATTCATACTGATTGTAAAAACATGAACGGAATAAATGAAATTTGTTCCACATTTCTAAAAGCTAAGGGATTTATATTTTTTAATATTGATTTTACTGAGATTTTCTATGATAGAAAAATTATTTCAAATTTAATAATTAATGCAATGATTATGATTACTCATTATTATCTTCACTAATTAGTTCTCAACCCAGAGAACAAGTGAAATAAGTCAAAATTGTTACTGGTTCACATGCTAAATACTCCAAAGTTAACTTTATCATAATTTTTTAAAATTCATTTTAATGAAAGTTTATAGACTTTGGATTTCCATTCATTGATTGTTGCATTTTTCTCCCTGCCCACTGCCCTCCCCCCCAATTCACTCTTCTCTTTGAAAAGTAAAAGAAAAATTATTTCATTGTTATACAATCCCTCCCACCTAGTCCACTCAACTACATTACCTTCTTCTGGACTCCTGTCATGACAATAATACCTAATCATATATCCCTTTTAAACAGTTTTCTCCCTCATCTCTTTCAATTCAATATACATTATTTATCCCCTCTTGCTCAGTCACTCCACAACCTCTATTTCACTTCTTTTTTATAACAGTGCCATTTTTTGTATAATTTATTTTCATTATTTTCTTTTTTATAACGTGCCAATATTTGTCTTTTTGTGACCGAGTTATTTCACTTAACATAATTTTGAAAGAAAATGGTAAAAGAATCCATTTTAAAGATATTTATATATCAAGATGTGACAGTTTTTAAACTATAATATGACTTCTCATTGTTCATGTCTATAAAATGCATCAGTTCTATTATTGATAAATATTGGGAACATTTCTGAGTTGTGTAAGATTTCCTACATAAAAATGAAAATAATAGCTCTCATTAGCATTAAAAATACCTTAACAGTTTCTCTGTGGGGATAGGATTATAAAACAAGACATGATACAAATCAGGACTGCAATTAGACACTGTGTATCAAATTGATGATGCAGAATGTATTTAGATATTTTAATGCACAAATTATCTAAAAACCTGCTGAAGGGTCAGCTATGGGTCAGTTACGACTCCATGGTACACAACAACAATGCATAAAAGTTTCAAAATTATATTAAAGTTAACGGTTCGAATCCACCAGATGCTCTGCCAGGAAAAGGAGGGACAATCTCCTCCTGTACCAGTCAGATCTGATTTGACGGTACACTCACACAAAAATAAAAAAAAATTTAAAAAATATATTA